GTAGTACTATTAAAGATTCAGATATTTTGCAACGTATATGTTTGTGGAGTGTGTTTGGAACACAGCAATTTGCATTACGGCTAAGAAGATAATACACTAATACATTGCACATGCAACTGCTTACTCTTATTTCAACTGGGAAATGAAAATGTAATGAAACAGAATTCCATTTTGATAGCATTGATTACCCGGTAGGCAGTTAAACTTTTCAAAAGTGTTTTCATAACATTCACAACGGGTTCTACGTCAAAGAGACAAGCTTAACATGTATTATGTTTTGGTAGTAATCTCTCAAGGGGCTTGAATACACTAAACCACCATTTCAGCAATAAGTTAGGAATACTAAGTAATGCACTGCTAGGTCCTGAGTGCAACATAAAGTAACAGCCTATTTCTCTTAGCATAAAAAAGTAGAGTTATATCCTCTAATGATATTTTGGACTAGCTGAATTCTAGGTGTACTTTTATAGAATGTGATGTTGAAGAAGCACAAATGCTGAGCATCTAAAATATATGCGTTTCTTTGTAGAAGCTACAGATCATTGTTCTGTAAGTCGTTCTTCATGAAAAGCTGTATTATCCTAAATACATTGCAAGTTTTAAAACGCAGTTATTGAAACATGGGCTGTCACTTGCAGTGATACATAGTGAGTAGAAATGTGGCAGGTCTTTTTTCTCTTTGATTTCTCTCACGTTTTCTGCTAATCCCTTTTCTTTACAGAACTAACATCTTTCATGTCTGTAAATTAACAGCATCACACTACTTATAATGCCACTTTTAGATAGCTAAGCAACCATCAGCTCTTAAATAAAGATGAAACTGGTTAGTATTAAGTTATTTGTGATTATCCTTTGGTTTCCTGACCCATAACTATGGTTGTACAACAAGGACAGGTCCAACCTTCGATCCTTTTTCAGCTTTGCTTTCCTGTCCCTGCAGCATGCTGCTGCTTTTGTCAGGCAGGCAGCACACTGTGGTGGACTCCTTGCTTTGCAACCCTCCACTGTTAGAAAGCAAGTCCCCTGGGCCAAGGCAATAAACACTGGTTCTATTGTATTATTTTTTTCCTGATCAGTTGAATGGAGTGTTTGGGTTTTTGTAGAATCATGGAACAGTTTGGGTCGGAAGTGACCTTTAGAGGTCATCTAGCCCAACCCCCCTGCAGTGAGCAGGGACAGCTTTAACCAGATCAGGTTGCTCAGAGCCCCAGCCAACCTGACCTTGATTGTTGCCAGGGATGGGGCATCTACCACCTCTCTGGGCAACCTGTTCCAGTGCTTCACCACCCTCATTGGAAAAAATGTCTTCCATCTATCTAGTCTGAATCTACCCTCTTTTAATTTAAAACCATTACCCCTTGTCCTATTGCAACAGGCCCTGCTAAAAAGTTTGTCCCCTTTGTTATGTTCTCATTACCTGTCTCCATAAATGAGCATGGTATTTTTACAAACAGCTCTACAGACAATGCTTCACATAAAGCAGAATGTACTCAGTCTACCTGGGTTATTACCTGTTACAGCACAAATATCCTGACTGACCTTTATCTAGATGTTGTAGGAGGGATTTTCAGCTTTTTGTCCTCAGACTGTTTCCCCAAAACTTGACTGAATTATGCTCTCTGACTGTTGAAGTGAGAGTCAAGGGTTCTCCCTCCTCCTCCTTGCTGCAGTTTCTCTCCAAAGGAAATACAAGCACTCAGGCAGGGTGCCTGGCCGGCACACCAGTCCAGGTAATGCCACACCAGTCCGGCACGTGCAGGGCACCAGTTACTGAGCACCGTGAATGCACTAACCATTAGGAACTGTCTGCATTTTAGGGACTGGTGATACCCTTCTGTCTTGTGCAACATCTTTTCCTTCTGCAAAATGGGTGGAGTAAGAATACCATGCTTTGTATATAGTGGTGTTTAAAGACTTTAAAGTGTGCAAACTTCTTGATTATTGTGATAGTCTATCAAGTGCTATATTTGATAATATGTTCTGGTATGCAAGAGGTTTCACACAGAACTTTATGGTAGTCATTAAGCAACCTGAAACCATAAGCTTATTGTTTTAAAATACAACTCATATTTCTTGTTAACTGAAATTTACCTCTACAACAAAATTCTTACCTATGCTTTCCAATAATGATTCAAAATGCAGCCCTTGTGAAGTGTAATACATTCTCTTCTAAGACCTGTCTTAAAATAGAGTGAAATTTACGAAATGTACAAAGTGATTGAAAATAAGACTTGTGCAGAAAAATAAATATACAATTCCAGAAGGGCTTTGAGATTTTGAAATCAAACTTGTGACTAAAACTGGAAAAAAATTATTGCTTCCAATTTTTCTTCAAAGGAATATATTTTAGGTCAATTTTAATATGGGTTTCATAAATTTTGCATTAAATTAATGCCTTTTAATTGTATGGCTTTTAAATATTTCAAAATTAAGAACAAATGTTTCCAAGCGAAAAGTAAACACTATTCCAAAAGTGTATCAAAATGGAATGTTTTGATTAGCATCAGAATTTTTTTCAGTTCTGAGAAAGATTTCAACAGAAGCAGTAAGAAAATATATTCAATGAATAAAAGCTAGACATTGTAAAAAGCTTATGTAAAATGTAGATGGTTTCTCTGTTTACCATGGTCAGTCTATTTGACTTTGAACCTTTTAGTGTATGATTTATTAGGGCAACCTGAACAACTTAGTAATAGGCATGGTTTTTTTCCCCTCCAGAGGACACAGTGGTAAAATATCAGTGGTACACAGAGAGGGCACAATTGTTCTTCCAACTGTACTGAAATGGCTAAGTAGCAGCATGCATTCTTATTTTAAATATGAAGATACCACTTTTTTTGTCATCAATAATTTTAGCAACAACTTTAATGTTTTCTCAGACATCTTCCTTCAAACCACAAGGTTTCTGGAAGCACTTATATTCAACAAGAAAGAGTTGATCTTTTTAGCCTCTACAGGTCTTCCCATTCTGAACCATGGGAAGCATTCTAGAATAAAAATTTTTGTGCAGTGTTATCTAAAGAGGATTAGACCTTGGTTTTACTATTGTGAACAGTGTTTGCTCATAACTATCATATATAATTTTGAGCATTGAATAATGGCTGTGTGTAAATTATCAGTGGATCATATAATCTTCAAAAGTCATCTATAAAAGGTCATCTATAATTTCTGCAAGTATTTTAAACAAGTCTATAATTTATTATATTTTCTCCCTCTTATGAATTAAATAGTAATATAATCTGTTTTATTACAGTTCTTACAGTAATCTGAGTTGTGTGGTCATCCCAATTTCATAGAGAAACTGGATATAGTCAACGATCATATGATTTATTTTGCAATGGAATTGTTTTGCAAAACAACAGATAAGCTTAACATATTTGCAAACTAGGAAGTAAAATTGCAAAAAATTGATAAATTGACCTTCTAATTCCTCTTGTGTGTAAAATTGAAAAAATTGATAAATTGACCTTCTAATTGCCTCTTGTGTTTCTGCTACTGGACAGATACACAAGAGTCTGTTGAACTCACCAGAAGCCTGATAATGCCTTGCTGATAAATGCTGATAAGGCATTCATGTGAAAAATACATGTAAACACGTGTGTAACATCTTTTTAAAAAGGTATCTTTACCTGTGATGGTGCAAAAGAATGGAGTAACCTTCCCAACCGTATTGCTAGTGTGACTCGCTAGCTAAATGCTAGCATTTTAAACAAATAATTCAGATGTGCCCAGGGGCAACACTATCAGGAACACCACCACTGACCTTTGGGAAGTGTTTAAGAGTAATGGATGAATGCAGTAAGACAGCTATGTGTGAATATATACTGTCATTACATTTATCCTGATGGACAATTAGACTTTGTTACACCTTTTGTTAGTGAGCATCCTGGAACGTTTGTGAGATGTAAATTACTTATTATATATTTTGACAATGTGCATTTGCATATTAAACTGAAAATTTCCACATTATGGAAGCAGGTTTTTTTTACAAACCTATAAGCCAGATTGATAAACTGAAATGACATACATGGATTTCTTTGTCCATAATGCCTTCCCCATAATTTTTTCCCATATAGATTGATGGGTCATTCCAGATGTACATTAGAAATCTAATTAGGGTTCAATGAGAAAATTGTCAGATTTCCCTGAAATCTTGTAATTTGCCTTACTGCTTGTTGTGCTATATGCAGTTCATTGCTTTTCAACACCATTTTCAGAACTGAAGTTTTGCTTTCACTTATTAATAAAAGAAAATAAAAATTTTCAGAAACAATTTAGCAGACAAAACAGTGAAGAATAAGGATAAGACCTGTAAATTGAAAAGTATAGTAAATTTCACAGAGTTTTGGTATCTGCAGACTTTTTTTGTTGCACTGTTACATGCAATTCCATAGGTCTGTTTGATTTCAGAATTATTTTAGGATTTTGGAGCTTTGAGACATTTGGGAGTTTTGTTTCATAGAATATGTGATATCTCAATTCAACTCTTTTGTTTGTTTTGTTGGGGTTTTTTTGTTGTTATTTTCTGTTCAAGTTTGCAGTAGAACTGAATGAAAAATACCCTTTTCTGCTGAGTTGGTTTGATCTTTATGAAATAGGCTCATCTCTTATCTTTTTTCCCGTTGGCAAGAAACTGCAATTTAAGCTGAGCAAACCCCAGAAAGCTCTGTCTGAATTGGCATTTAAAGATCTCAGAGTTTAAGTACATTCTAAATTCTTGTGTTGACTTCCACATGACACAGAAATAGGTGTTTTTCATAGTTACATTAACTTCTATCTTGATATTCAATAGAAAAATAGTTACTCTGTAAATTAATTTAACAATATTTTATAATACAAATAACCTACCAGGCTTACAGAAAGCCAAGTATTTTATAAATATTATTTTATATATTTTATAATACCTGTATTCAGTATGTTTTAGATATTCCATGTATGCTGATGATTAATTTTATTTTTACAAAATATGTTAGATGAAACATTCACTTCCTTGATTTCAGGAGCTGATGCTGTGGAGGCCCAGTGTAAGAGATTTGAAGTGAGGGCAAGTGAAGGTGGAAAAGTATTGTTTTCTGCAGATGAAGATGAGATTGTCATTGGAGCTGACAGACTAAAAGTAACAGGTACGGTAATAATAAGGTTTCTAAATGGATGTAAGCGCTTTTTTTTTTTTTTTATACCCTTAGTAATAATTAATCTATCAGTCTTCTACAAAATCTTCATCCACTGGAGATGAAAAAGTCATCATCACCAGTGATTGCTTGACCAACCAAAAGATATTGCATAATCTAAAAATAAATTCCTCTAAAAGCAGATTTCAGTTTAAAATCTGCAGGACCAACTATGGTACAAACCACCCTTACCACAGTGATTTGGCTTTTATATGTTACCATTAAGCATTGTTTTGTGGTACCTATGCCATTTGTTTAGGTAATGCCCCTTCACAATGATAAAAACTATTGTTATAGACTATGCCTTTTTTTTTTTTTCCATATACAAAGTATCAAGTCTAACTTCCATGTGAATTAAGGTTATGGACTCTGCTTTACTTTAGGAAGCTCAGCTGAAGTCCAGTAAGTAGAAACCTGGTCTTGACTTGAATATTTGTTCAATAAAATAAGAAAAATAATTCTCATTGGTATTTTACTATCATCATTACATATATATATCAGTAACTCATTTGATATTAGAAATGTGTTAGCTTATAAAAAAAAAATCGGTTACCTAAGTTTGTTTTAGATAAATGCTTTAACTGCTTAATAAAATTTTATCTGAACTTAGTCTGGTCTTGAGCTATCCACTCATCATCTAGAATAAGATACAAAACTTTAGTTGCTTCACCAATTTAGCTTTAGGTCAGTCTATATCTGTGGATGCCTGCTTTACAGAAATTGAAATCAACCTTACTAGTTTGGAAGTTCAGTTGTGTAGAAAGTATAAGATGGTTCTGGTTTATGATGATTATGATATGATATCCCTTTCTGGTCTGTAAAACTAAGAAATGCATTACTAGCATCTTTAAGCCTTTAAAAAAATATATTAGTAGTTCTACTTCTGTGTAATGCCAGATATAGCACTAAAATACATCCAGGAAGTCCAGAGTCAAGCTATGCCTGAACTTTCTTCATAAGCCTCAAGACTATTGCTTGCCAGTATATGTGGGATAACTTTTCTTCCTCTTTCATTCCTATCTGACCTGTGTCTATCTTCTTTACCCAAGCAAATTGTTTTAATACTGCTAAACCCAAAAAAAAAAAAAAAGGCTTTTGCAATCAGGCAGTTTAATGATGTTCCAGTATCCAATATAATACACTAAATCATATCCGTTTACCAAATGTGGGGTTGGAGAGGGAGACATTAGTGTTTTGTTGAGTCAGCAGCAATTCTTCATAGACAGTAGTTGTACAAGAATTTTACCATAGTAAAACCTAAGACAATAACTGAAATAACACAAGAAGAAAGAAGAGATTCATACCAAATCCTGCTAAGGTTCAAACTCGTTCAGAATATTAAATACTGAGGAAATAAATCTTAAACATACAATCAACACAGGAGATTTAAAACATCTATCATAAGTTAAAAAATAAAACATCTTACAAATGACACTAAGGATTAGATTTCCTGCCATTAAGAAATGTAATCATAAGTTGTAGATGTCATGGTAATTTTTTTTTATCAGACTTCAAAAGCCAAGCACTGCTCAGCTGTCTTTAACTTCAAAGTGGGTTGAGTTCCTACAGCACCTGTTGACATCAGTGGTAGAGAAAGCAGAACAACTAATGAAAATTTATTCAATGATGCTTAGCATGGGATATAAGATTGTTCCTTGTGAAAAGAACAGGATTTTCTCCTTAATTCTAGAAATACACCTGACTCTATGTGCATTTATATTAAGCTCCCCCGCCCAAATTAAAAAAAAAAAAAAAGGTAAAAAAAAAAAGTAAATGCTAGGAAAACCTAAGTTAATGCTGCTTTGATATATTCATCTGAGTTTCAGGGATTACTGTATACCTGTTGAGTCCTACCAGAGAATATCACTACTAGAGTTTGTATAAGTAATTTATTTTCCTTCTGTAGCTAAAATGAAAAATAAACAAGAGTCAGGATTGAATTTTCAAAGAAATTCTTGCATTGAACTAGAAAAATTACTTTAGGGTTAAAACAACAAAAACATTTAGTTTAATGACATGCACACACACACACAAAAAGAAAGATTTAGGCAGCATTTAAATATCACAAAGAAAATATGCATACTGGAGCATTTATCAGGTTCTAAGTGTTGTCATTTAGGTCATGAAGTTAAATACAAATTATGTTCCATTAAATAGCCTAAGGTCCAATATTTTTGGGCAGTTTCTTTCGAAAAACATGTTAAGGTGGTTTGTAATTGTAATTTGAAAGAATAATTTACTTTTAAAAATCACTTGAAAATTATTGTCATCTTTTGTGTTTATTCAAAAGTAATTTAATAAAGTTGGGATCATTCTTTCTAATCTCTGGATAGTTGTCTTGAAATCAGATTTCATTAGTAAATTATCTTATAATGAGGCTATAAAAGTCTAGTTTCAAAATTTTATGCTTTAAATACCTAGGGCCCACTTCAGGTTAACCCTTCCATCATCCTGTTAGAGAAGAAAAATATTATCCCACAGAATGAAGGGAAGAGTATTAGATTTCTAAATGAATGAGTATGTCTGAAAGGCTTAGACAGAATAACCTCATATCCCAATTTCTGTATCCCTAAAAGGCTTTTTGCAGCATAAGTACTAATCTGCAGCCAAATAATAAAGCTATAAGAAGACATGTATGCTTTACGGTTGACTTCAGTCTAAAGCTGAAATTATCTAACATAGATTTCCCAATGGAGACTAAAAGTTGTACAATCCATGGAATCTCCAGAAAAGTATTTTAAAAAAAAAAAAAAATCTCCCAAAGGGTAAAAAAAAAAATAAGCTATCTTCATGGAGAAATAGAATAACCGAATATTTCTTTCATATAGTAGCTCTTTGAATTCTGTCCAAAGATTGTGTGATACCTTTCAATTCTTCAGCAAACACATGAAAGGTGATGAGTCCCTGTGAGTTGCATCAATCAGACTGCATTACTCTATATGACATGATATGACTGATGAAACCTGGCAAGGCATCATAATGTCAAACATCAACCAGAAAAATTTTTTAGTGTATTTTTCTCAAGCCTGTGTTTTGATAATCATGGTACCTTAGGGTGACTATAGGAAAGGAGTTATGGAAGAACAGAGAAAACAAAAAATGAATACCAAAAAGCAAAAATAAGCTGTGCTTATTTGGAGAATAAACTCTCACATGTAGTTATTTAAGTGTGGTACTACAATGAAAACCTGATTTTATTTTCCTGCTTAGCTGTGAACAATGTCTCTTTGGAAACACTTCACTGTGAATGGGTCCAATAAATAATGCGTTTTGGTAATTAATTTTCTAAAGCATGCCCATTTCATGGGCATTTATAAACCACTATGGCAATGTGGGATTTACTTTACATGATTTTTTCTCAGTTCAGAAGAATGCTTTTGTAATGCACAGCTTTAAAAAGCAATCTGTCATAAGGCAGTATTAAGAACTTCTTGATTAATAAAAACTTGAAAGCTTAAGTTTACAGCTTCTCATTGATTATTTTTGTAGCATTTTTATTTGTAAATTTTTATATAGGCAGCCTATTCCAAGCAGAAAGGTATCGTAGAAACAGGCTAGTAAAGCAGGTATCAATATATTTTCCAGGTAAGAAAAGTATGGAGTCAGAAGTAGTACTTTTTGGTTTAGCGATACTGCAGCTATATATTTCCCTGTTAAGAGCCTCTCACTTTAAAATTAGGCAGTTGGCTCATTTAATTTAGACTTCTTATTGTTCATTCCATCGTTACTTTTGCTTTTTCTTTTAAATGTGTTAGCTCTTCTCTACTTTGTCTTTCAAGGAAAGAAGAAAAAAGATTCAACTTTTGCTTTGTTAGACAGAGCTGTTAGAATTGCAGCTGACTATTGCCCCTTTGCACAGGGATGCCTCCTACCGCCAAGTTTAACATGTATCATAGAGCTTTGTAGGGAGGGAAGAGAAAGGCATGATGAAGTAAACATATTGTCAAAGAAGTGGGAAACAAGCAGGAATAAGGAGCTGTGTTTCTGGTAGGCTCACAGGTTCCTTTCTGCACATGGCTAAACATTTCTCCATCCCTTATATTCACCCTGTTCCAATGAATGGACAGCATCTATAGCATCGTGAAGTCGTCTTCACTCCCTCTGCAGCTACAAAGCAAGAGTATCTGTTTGACTTTTACTTCTGTTATTTAAATCTTAATACAAAGTTTTCTGCCCTATGCTTTTATTTCATATTTCTCTTAATTGCAATACGATCTCTCTAAGATATTCCTGTAGCAGAACTTGAAAACACTGTATTGGTCACACTCGTCGGTGACAGTACAAGCATATGTCGTGACTCAGCTTTATCCGGCCAGAGTACTTTTGAGAAAACAGATTAAGAAGGCCTAGCTCAATATACATTTTTCTGACAGACTGCTGCAAAAGATGGTTGTAATTCTTTCTATGAAAACTTTCACCATATGTCTCTGTCTTCCTCTTTTTTTTAAACCAAACTTGTAGTTAGCAGCTGTATAAGAAGTACTAAGCAAAGTGGAGGTCGTCTAGTTACATTCTACACAAAACACCTACTTTTTTGGACAATGTAACTGAGTGGTTTTTCTCCTCTGACTTTTGAGGTGGTTTGCTCAGTTAAGTCTGAAAGCACATTACCAGAAACTTTTTTCCCATTAAACTTACAATGTTTTATGCAAATTATGCAAACATTTTGCTTTTTTGAAGAGCATATTTCTCTGTATATTGTTTTTGAAGGTGAAGAGACTGCAACTTAATTCTCATATTGTCTCCTACATGTTCTTCTGATCTATATAATTCATTCAGACTTGGCTATAGTGTTCTTTATTTAATCATGATTTTATCTCTGACCCTTCTTCCAAGACATATAAAAGTAATAGCGTACCTTGATTTGTTACAGGCTTAGGTACCTTCTTCTAAATCAGTTGTACTTGCACATGTGGCTTTTCTCTTAATCATGTTTAAAAAAAGGCAAGGCA